ATCAATTATCTGGAGTTTTAAACGACAATGTGAAATAGATGCGGTTACTTAACTCGTCTGTTTTGACAAACCTGGAAAAACACAAATCAGGAGAATTGCAGTGACCGACAAAACTCACAAAAATGGTTCAAGTGGTGGCTCCATGTAGGTACAGATTTATACACTAATGAAAATACCTGTTGACGCCTGAGAGTATGGTCTTATTCTGTTTTCTTTTCTTTGGTTTTACTTTTCTTTGGTGTTGTTTACTTTCTTTTGTTCAGGAATGTAAGGGGGGTGGGAGCTGAGATTACTTCCTTGATGCCAGGCTCACCTTGAGCAGGCTTGGGTCAGGAGTCGTATAAAGTCAGACTGCAGAGCTTCTCAGCCTCCGTTTGGCCACTGACTGAACTGTTGGTTTTTGATGGTGTTCTGTGTTTTACCATCATACTGATACACTCACCTTCACTTCACACAGACATTGCAGAATACTGATTTACTGATAGAACAGATTAAACTGGAAAAAAAAAAAAAAAAAAAAAAAAAAAAAAAAAAAAAAAAAAAAAAAAAAAAAAAAAAAAAAAAAAAAAAAAAAAAAAAAAAAAAAAAAAAAAAAAAAAAAAAAAAAAAAAAAAAAAAATAAAAAAAAAAAAAAAAAAAAAAAAAATATGTGATTATTTGTGATTTAATAATTTAAATGTGTTTAACCATTTCACGAGACTTGTGTCTCCCAGTCTTTGTCACACTCTTTTGAGCCAGGTTGTGACACTATGAATATTATATTCAATTTCTACCAGTATATCCTCTTAAATGTTACACACTGGAGCTTTGATGGTGTTTTTGTACATGATTAGATAGTTCAATCTTATTCCCAGGTCGTCAAATACCAACCCTTTGGGTTATAGTAAATGGGGAAACAACAGCTGATGTTTGTGTATGAACGAGACATCTCTCTTTGACACCTTTTTAATTATTAATTTTTTACCTCTTTCCAAACGCACATGTAGGCCATCACTATGATAAACAACTAAATGAGTCACACACTCTGCCTGTACCAGAGAGATGAGGTTGGAGAGTGTGAGTGCCAGGTAAACATCCACCACGTCCTGCTGCCTCTCAACAGGACGCAGCTCCTTGTTGTATCCCTTTTCTTTTATCAGGTAGTTGATCAGACGCTCCTCCTCGTTCCTGCCCCAGCACTCTGACACACATAGAAACACACATTTTAACACTTGTATTCAACATTTAAGTCAATAAAACATTGAAAACATCAACTGCTACAGTCCAAAAAAAAAAATCTTCATCTGTGAAGTAACTACTGAAAAAGTCAAAAGTACAATATTGTATCTTATAGACACATTAGAAACATATATTATCTGTATATTTACTGGTCTCCACTGTCAGTAACACTGTACATACTCTAACATATAACAGTTTCCAGGATGCCTGGGAACTCTGTGTAGTACTAACTTATACAGTATTTGTAAATTATACTATTCTTTTGGCACTTTTTGTTACTGCATTTCATTGCCTTTGCGCAGAAGATGGCATGAAAAAAATGCCTGTCATCCTCTAATTGGTGTCAAATGTAAAACATTAATTTAGATCAAATCTTAAAAAAGGGGTTCATTAACACAAATATTCAAAGATTAAAATGAAAAGAGACGTATTTTGAATAAAATATGAAAATTTGGAAATAAAAAAATTAATTGATTTCTAATACCTTAATGCTTTACTCATGTGCGACAATAATACATATTGTACATAAATATGGATGTATGTGATTGTCTTTGTTCAGTGTACAGTGAAATAAATACACTGTAAATGAAGCATTCCTCTGCACACACACACACACACACAGGACAACAAACAGGGCCTGAGTGTGTGTGAATACTTTCATGCCGGTCGTATTTCAGGCAGCTGCTCTGTGGTTCAGGCCATCTACACTGGCAGACATTTCCCCTCCAAACACTTCCAGTTTACCACACGGCCATGTTTGTTTTTATTTTCACTGATACTGACTCTTTATGGAATCAGTCAGCTCCACTGGTCTCGTCACTCGTCTTATTTTTTTACTACTTCAGCAACCAACGGCTATTTTTATTATTGTTAATTCATCTTTTGGTCTTTATAATGTCATAAATAGTAAAAAAAAAGTTGCAGGCTGACAGATTCAAACTGTCCAACTATTATAAAAGACAAAAAAAAACATTCAATATTTACATTTTAGCTGTGAATTTTAGCCATTTTTGCTTAAAAAAAAAAGACTTTAAAAGATGAATCCATTATCAGATTAATTTTCTGTCAACAGACTGATTGATGAATTAATTAATTGCTCCAGCTTTAGGCTCCTATGGTTTATATACTTTAACTTTTTAGTGAGATGTTTTACTATCCTGTGTTTCATACTGATGAAGATGATCTTTTTTAACGTTGTAAGCAAATAAAGATTTTAAATGAAAGAAAATGTTGTATGTTTCTGCCTAAAAACAAAATAAATAGAGATATTTACAGCTGACACCAAATATTTGCTGCTCTAATACTCAAATAGTCAGTACGGGCCTTCTAGGTTGCATGTCAGTCAAACTTTGGCTTAACTAAACTTTGGATCAAATCAATTTTACAGCTTCAAACTTAAATCTGAGGGTCGGATTTTGAAACAACTCACCAGATGAGAGCAAAGCGAGCAGGAACACGGTGGCCAGAGCTGCATGCTGAAGCTTCATGGCTGACTGCTTCACGGTGACAAGTCCGGCGTCCTTTTACCCACCGACCTTCTGCCAAAAGACTGTGTGAGTGACGGGCAGCAGCTGCAGAAACACAGAGGACAGAAAATAGAAAACACAGCCGGCTGCCATCAACCTCTGCTCTGTACAGGAAACAGAGCCAGGGAGGAGGGAGGGTGTTGGATACAGAAATAACATTACAACAAACAAATGAGATGCTGATTGTAATTAAATTATACTGTTTATCATAGATTAATATAACACAACTCTCTACATTATATTGTTTTTCTTCCTTTTCTGTACATTTGAACTTCAAAAGACCAGAAGAATTCACTGTTTTTGTGTTTTTCTTGTTTTGAAAGGAAAGTTAGAGCTGATATCAATCTATGATAGATATATTGGTATCTATCAATAAGTAAGGAGCAGCGGTGGTTCGAACTGTGCTTTAAGTACTTCTGTGACTTTACACAACATTTCATTATATGATTATAAAAGCAAATACAGTATATAAAGTCATTAAAGTGATGAACACATGAATAATCATAATAAGTGATAGAAAGAGTATTTGAAAATCTGCACTGGACACTGGAAGTACATTACTGAAATATTACTCCACTACAAGAGTATTAGTTACTGTTTTTTATTAGCATACAAAGTATGAATGAATCAAAAATGCAAGTGAAAGATTTGGATATAAAACTTCTCTGTAGAAAATTATGATTTAGATTACTAGTTAAAGAAAAAGTACCCAAAAATGTGACTTTTACAGTAACGTCAGGGATTAAATCATAATACACATTATTCTTTTAAAGCGTATTTTTACACTGATCGGCCAGACGAGGGCGCCACAACCAAACTCTTAAACTCACTGGCTGTCATTGGGCTGATTTGTAGAAAGAGAGAATAAATACTAATGTTGGGTGTGAAACAATAACAGACTTTCTTAATGGGGGAGGCAACATCACGGAGGTATGGTTTCCCCCATTTGGATTTAAATGTGGTTTAGGACATATTTATTCTCACAAAAAAGGTCAATAAACTGGAAAGAAATTAAACCTTATCCTTCATTAACCTGCTGAAAAACCAGTTGCATATCAGACTGTGATCGGCTTCCAGCTGTAAGGTCATTAAATCAAAAACAGCAGACCAACGTGAAAACAAACGTTGTGCACAGTGGAGCTCAAACATCCAAATTAATCAGCATTATAATGAAGTAAAAAGGATTTCTGAGTGAAGAATTGCTCTTTGAAAAAACATGGAAATCATGCATACTGTCTCTACGGAAGCCCTGAGAGGCAAAT